TTATTAATAAAATATTTATCTACTACTATGAATTATCAATTAAAATTCTTTAGATTGTTTTTGTAGATCATATAGCAAAAGTAATATTTACTGGCTCAAATATTTGTTATCTACAAAGCAATTTGATAAATTTTTTCTCTGAGTTAACAATTTTTAACTATTAATCAGATTGTTTGTTTTAGTAATCTAAAGTATTTTTTATTATATTGAAAAAGATATTGCTACTTAATAACTATTATTATTAATATATTTTTTTTATTAATATGTTATAGTATATAGCAAAAAGCTGTTCTATATTTAAAAGCTTCATATAACTATAACTAGTGATATAATCTATTTAAAAAAATATAACCTGGGTTATCCAATAGGTGAACTCCTGAGTTATCCAAATTGATTAACAGGTCTATTCAAATCATAAGTTACCTGTTTGACTCAGGTTTTATTATATAAAAAAATTTTAAAGTAGTAAGATATTTTGGAATTCTTTAAGATCTTTAAGATCAAATATGTATAAAGTAGTTTAGATTATGCAAATTTGACAATGTGAAGAACAGTTATATATATAAAAGTTTTATTTTAAGTAACCCAATTTGTTTGAGCTTTTTTTTTAAATATTTTTTATTTATAGTAATAAATATATTAACTTTATAATTTTTTATAGTAAACACTATTTTATTTTACAAATAATAATTTACTAACTATTTCAGATACCAAGTGAGTCTTTTTAGTAATAATCTAATTCTCTGCATCAAAAAAAAGATATTCACTTAGAACAGAAGTAGTGAGGATAGACAAATACTTATATACTATTTTACTAAGAATAGAAAAGAATTGCTGTTTATTACATCACTATTGATAGATATCAATATTCTGAAATTAAATTAATATAATTGATATATTCAAGTAATTGTTAATTTCTATTTTATAATTAATTTGATCTTGATTTTGTTTAAAAATCCTTTTCATAAAAGAAGTTAATTATGATAATAAGCATATTGGTTCTACATATTTGACTAATTCATCTGCTATAGATATATTTTGCTATGTTTCAAATTCAGTATATAACTTCTCAATTGTATCATCTTATGTTATAGTTAACTATGTACTTAATAATATTAAAAAGAATTGTAGAATACTTTTTTGAAATTTGAGGTTATTTGTTGATTTGAAGATAGCTCTTGGGTAATTAGTTGTTGTGATATATCATCCTCAGAAAATTCATTAATATCATTATTATTATTAAATAAGAGTTTATCTATTTTATCTAATTTTTTTTAAAAATGTTTCTAAATAAATTTGACTTATTTTTTTTATTTTTTTTTTTATATATATACTATTATTATTAATTATTTTTTCAATATTATTTAGTATAATATTACCAAAAAACTTGAGTTTTAATATTTTGATACTTGAGTTAATAACCAAAAGAGTAGCATATTTAATTTTACTAAAATAAGTTGCAATTCTTTAAATGGTTTAAATGTATTTATTATTTCTTCTAATATTTTTTATTTATTTTCCTCAAGTACAAGACAGTTTAATTTACAAGAATCTTCTTTAGCACTATTCTTATTTTTGTATATATAGTGTTCTAGAAAGCTATAATTGCTTTATACAAAGCTAGAAGCTGTTTTTATAAATAGTAAGTAAAATTTTATCAAGTTTTTGAATTAGTGAAGTATGTAAAATTTTAAATTTTCTTTCTTCAAATATTTCTGAATTATTATTTTTTATTTCTATCTCAGATAAAATTTTAGATAAATCTTCAGAATCAAATAATTGAATAGGGTTTATACTAGTATTATTATATTTAATTTGTGCTTGATCAAGGCATTGATATTGTTTTGAAGATCAGAAAACATGATAAGGCAATGAATTTTTTTAGTATATAGTTCAATTGTTTTTAAAGCTTTATTTACTATAAGTTGAAGAGTATGAGCAAAATAAAAAAAATATTCTACACCATATAGAAATCTAATAGCCTTTTTATATTTGTACTATTATTTGTTATTATATAAAAAAAAACTTTTTAATCTTTTATCTTTTCTTCTAAATAGTCTTTTATTTGTTTACCTGTATGCAGATAGTCAAAATATTCAATGGCTAGTACTATATTATGTATTTCAAAATTTGAAATTAACTAATAAAGCATTACACTAATATATCTATTATTATTATAGAATATCTATAAGTCTGTTGTAATTGAAGCAGTTTTACAAGTTGTAAAAATTAATTTCTTAAGCTCTAATACTCTCTTTTGATAAGCAGAAAAAAGATCTATTTTAATGCTTTTATAACTAGATAGTATAAATGCCAAATTAGTATGATTTATTATTTTCTATATTCTTTTTTACAGATAATACTAAATAGCAAAGAATCAGTAACTAGCTATTTAGCAGTAACTCTTTTCAATTCTGCTTGTTTGGTTAGGTAATATAGTTTTTTAACTATTTTATTGATATGTATTTGGTATTTTTTATCTGGCTTTACTTGAGATTCAGCATTTGGTGATAAGATTCTATGATCTACTAAAAGATGAATTTTTCATATTTTCTGTTAAACTATCATATTTATAATCTTTTTCACATTTAACTTCTTCACCTTTATCAAATTTAATTATCTTATGGACATTGTGTCTATCTTTGACTTTAATATAAAGTCAAACATAACTCTTTTTACCTAGAGAAGCATCCAATATAGGAATGTTTATTTTAATTTTTTTAGTGGCTAGTTTATCTACAAACACTTAAGTATTTTTTTCCATTAATTACTTGAATTTTATTATTATGAGTATATTTGGTATTACTATCTATAATTAATTTGATTAAAAAAAATTTATCATGCAGATTTATTAATTTGTTTTTTATTTTTATATTTAACTCAAATACTACACAAGAGTTAAATTTCTAAGATAGAATAAGTCTTTTGAATAAAATTTTGATTATAAGTAAAACTTTAGATATTTAAGATCTAATCTAAGCTATCAATATTTCCTATACAATATACAAAGCTTTGAGTAATTACAGCAATAAGCTTTTTATTTTTATTTTCTAATTTATGCACTGCCTAGATATACTATTTCTTAATTATAATATTAATTGTAGATATTCTTTATAATCATTTTCATTAGTTGGGCTATGTTATCTGTTAAAATCATATGATTAATTATCAATTTATTTGGCTAAATTTAAACAACAAAGTTGAAATCCTATAGTCTAATAGTCTAGGCACCCAACTCTTTACAAGCAGGTTTCAGGTTCAAGTTCTAGTAGATGTAAATTTTATAAATATTTAAAGGATCTTCTTTAGTATAGGTGGGCAATATAGAAATATTATAAGATTATAATATAGAAAAACTCTAATCCTAACTCTAACCTAACTATAAATTATACTATAACTCTTACCCTAATCCTAACTAATCCCAAATTTGCTTAAATTAGTTCAAATAACTATTTTTTATATTATAATCTTATATTATTTCTATATTGCCCACCTATACTAAAGATCAACTCATTATTTTTTTATATTTTATGTTCTGGACTTACACTGGTTTCCAGGTTTATTAAAATTAATGCCAATGTCTAAAAAAATTGCATAATTTGATTGGTAGTAAAGAGAATGTGTATATCAGTTTTGTGTAATATTGCATACATGGTCAATATTAAAGCCAAATTTCAAGTGACTAAATAATAAATACCATGATTTTACTGACCAAAAAAAAAAAAAATTGAACCTGAATATATGTAAATCATTTTTCTAAAAAATGTATGTATATTTGCATATATAAAACCCCTTTTTTAAAAAAAATATCTGTATATACAGTATAAAAACCCCTTTTTTTAAAAAAAAGAATTTTTTTCAATTTATATAAGAAAGCCAATACGATTTTATATTAGAAAAAACACTTCAAATGAAGAGAGAAGATCATCATTATGTAATAGAGCATTAGATGATTTATCCAAAATTGTGTGTACCTGGCAAATCTGTCCAGCTTCTGGGTTATTTTTACATAACATGATTTGTCAGATTAGCTAGAATTTTTCACCCCTGCAGCTAGCCTAGATATAAAATGATAAAATTTTGTTATGATCAACCCAATTTTTAACACATATATATACAATATTATAAAAAAAACTACAAAACTTACACATAAAACTATTCACATTCATCTGTTCTAATTTGCCACCATCAGATCTTCTTGCAATAGTATGTGTGTGCAAAGATTTCAAAAATATTTTAGAAAAAAGTATCAATTCATTAGCAAAAGATATTTGGAGAATTCAAGAATTAATTTTCAATATATAGAACCACCATCAGGAATAATTCAACAAACTTTTGCGAGGCTATTAAATTTTGAGAAAGGTTGTCAATTTTGTAAAAATAAAAAACAGTCTAGTGGATTTCTGATGTTTGCTCTTGCAATAACTGTATACTCCCAAGAGTTTGGTAAATTAATTTACTATTTTACATATATATATATATACTATATATATTATAATAATTTGAATCTGAAAAAAAATTTTATTAATAATATTTAATAGTTTTGGGATATGTGAAACAAATTTTAAGATCGATAGGGAAATATTTGAATTTATTCTACCAGTAGTGCCAGACATAGAAAATCAGGATAGTCAGGAATGACTCAACAAACTTTTGGGAGGTTGTTAATTTTGTAAAACTAAATGAAGCCATTGACAATCTATTGGATTACTGGTGTTCGCTCTTGTGAGAACTGTATGTTCTCAAAAGTTTTTAAGTAAATTAATTTACTATTTTACATATATATATATATTATTATAATTTGAATCTGAAAAAAAATTTATTAATAATATTTAATAGTTTTTGGATATGTGAAACAAATTTTAAATTTGATAGGGAAATACTTGATCTTATTCTGCCAGTAGTGCCAGGCATAGAAAATCAGGGTAGTCAGAAATGACTCAACAAACTTTTGCGAGGCTATTAAATTTTGAGAAGAGTTGTCAATTTTATAAAACTAAATGAAGCCATTGACAATTTATTGGATTCCTGGTGTTCACTCTTGCAAGGATTATATGTTCCCAAAAGTTTTTAGGTAAATTAATTTACTACTTTACATATATTTATATATATATATATTGAATCTGAATAAAATTTTATTAATAATATTTAATAGTTTCGGGATATGTGAAACAAATTTTAAGATCAATATAGAAATACTTGAACTTATTCTACCAATAGTGCCAGGCGTAGAAAATCGGGGTAGCCTATAGTTGTTAGACGAAACCTTTTGTGCTTGATGACGAAAGACGAAACCTAAGCCTCAAATGACGAAACTCT